GAACAGATACAACTTCTGTGTGGGTTCATTAAGCCAGTCTATTATCATGTAACCAAAGTGACTCAGAAGCAGTAAGAATCAAGATAAACCGATAATTCAAGTGGCGGACATAAATGAAATGATGGAAAGACAGTGTACTTACAAGATATAGCCAGTTCTTTCTGGGATCCAGAGGTAGAGATCGCTGGAAAAGAAAAGAAATGAACAAACTAATCCGTTATATTTTAAAGAAAACAGCACAAATGAAACTCTAACATCACCAGTTACATTAAGAAGGGTGATGTACCACTTCGGAAATCGAGAACTATCAAAATGACAACACTAAAAGCTTTGAGCTTTACCTTGCAAAATTTCTGAAAAACTGGGAACACAGTATCATCATTAACAATGACCTCTGCATGGCTTCTGATCAATGATATCCACTGCAACAAACTTAAGAGATTCACAAAACTGCAATAAAACTAAATAAAGAAGCTTTTTTTTTTTTCCAGAGATCAATATGACTAGAATAGACCTGAGATCCTTTTCGCCATTTCTCTTTCCGTATAACAGGAAACATTTTCATGGTGTAGCGTTTATCTTTATCAAGGAAGCTGCAAACAGAGAGCAACACAGTTATCAACAACAGTTAGCTGAGGCAATATATATCTACTGCTTTTGCTATTTATAGTTTTAGGACACATAAATGTAACGCAAACTTCGCAAAATTACCTGTCTACAAAACTCTTTGGTGAAGAAACTAGATATCTGTATATGTAACCAAAGTCGTATAACGGAACACAGCTACATCACAAAGAGTAAAACCAAAGGAATTGAGTGGATCAATAACTCAATCTCAACGTCAATAAGATCTAGTCAGAAACAGAATAAAGAAACCAACCTATCAGACAAAAGAACAAATCTTTGATTCGAAGGATCTTCCAAAGCAGATGCAAGCAACAATCTTTCTGCTGCAATCATGCTTGATTCTCCCCAAACTACCTGAAAGTAAGTCAATTTACAAAATTTTCAATTCATCCATCAAAATCCACAGAACAACAAGGTGATAACGAGTGGCATTTGGGAGGGGACTATATAAAATGCTCTGGTCCCTGGTCTAAGGGGATGTACAGGCCTAGGCCCAGAACCTTACCTGGATGCTATTCTTCAATTGGCGATTGTAGAAGAACTGTGATCTTGTGGAGGATTCATCGAATACGAAACCAGGTATTGAATGTATATAGATTGAGAAATTTCTATGATCTGCACTCTGCCAAAAACACAAGAACAATAAGATTCAAAAATTCAATGAATGATCAAAGACGAGTTTTTTTTTTTTTTTAACCTTGAAGAATCTATCCCAGAGAAAATCAAGAGGCAAATCACGACGAGCTAAGAAAAGGAAGGCGAGTTTGGGACGATCGCCGGAGTATTTAACGAGAGGAATACGAGATCTCGCGACGGAGAGAGACGAAGAGAGTGTCGTCGTCGTCGCAGTGGAAATAGAGTGACGGTTGATAGAGAAGAGAGCGAGGATGCATAATGCGGCGGAGAGAGTTATAAGTATCTTCCATCGAAACCACACGACGCCGCGACGAGACGACGGAAGCCGCGGCATTAGTAAAACTCGAAAATTCGAGATTTACGTACTTCCGGCGATCTGCATACGAACTCCGGGAGAATCTCTAGGGTTTCAGGAGAAATCGAAATCGTAAGGATTTGACATGTGAGAGAGGAAGAAGAAGAAGAAGAAGAGAAGAAGGCAAGTCAATAAGGAAGACGTTGAAGTTGATGAAAACGACACCGTGTCGTTGTCCACGTGTGAGTTCTTTAATGTGAATTTTGACGATTTTTTTTAATTAGGGAATAAAATTATACTATTAGTACTAAAGATAATTAAAAGATTATTAAATGGTTTGACTAGGGGAAGAGTGTGAATCCTTTTATTAAGACGTTTCTTAGGAAGTAAATGCGGTAAACGCATTTGTTTTGGTAATGTTTCATCGGAACACACTAATTTCATTTTCTTTTTTTTCTGTTGTTAATTTTCAATACATGTACAAAACAGATTATATTTTAAGAAGGAGATTATATAAGTGTTAGAACTAGATGTTTTTGTTATTAAACAGATTCAAATGATTTTAGACGATTCTAAACATATTTCGTGTTTAATATAGAGTCATTGTTAACTGATGTTAGTCAACCATTAAATGTTTTATAAAATATGTGTGATATAAATATAAATGTTTGTGATTGTCTTAAATAAGGTTGTGGATCACCTGATAATGAGAATTTCTTAAATGTTAAGGGTCGTGACTTCGATTTTTGGGTTTTTTAAAAAAGTTTACAAATTAAATTCTAAACATCAAAACGACGTCATTTTACCGGTTGACTAACAACGACTCTAATTTAGGTACGAAATATAAAATTCGGAAATGTAATTTGAAATTTTTAACGTTTAGATATAAATTAACACTGCGTGTTTGTACAGTTTAAAAACGTACTTTGCAGATTGTTGGGGTCGAAAAAGACCCTTTTACGTCTTTTTTTTTTTTTTTTTTTTTTTTTTGGTAAAAAAAAACTGTTAGAGTAAACTTTTTATAGTGACAGGCTCCACCGCAAAGCGGCCTCATATCCAGAGAAAAATCCCACTCCGGCCTGGACCTACGGGTTAGTATACACCGCTTGCCCCTACTCGTATGAAAGAATTTTTATTTGGAGAAGCTCAGTACCACCGTGGTGGCAGAGTGACTCGAACTTGAGACCTCTGACACTCATCTGTGAGAAGGAAATACCACTAGACCATGGACCCTTCTCCCCTTTTACGTCTTTTATATCATCATCGGATATATTTGATCTAATCATGTTAGAAATGAAACCTAATTAGACAATAACTATCTCCTTCATAACCCTTGTATCGTCAAACTAACGATTCTTACATGCATTATATTCACAGTGGACACAACTTTACCCTTAACACGAGAACCCACGACGGATGGCTCTATTTGTAACTCTCTAGAATCCGTCAAATTTTGCATCCTATTAATGCGCAAGAAAATACACTCGCAGACAATAGAACTCAGATCTTGACTAGACTTTCAGATGGCACGTGGATGAAGTAGGATTCGATGAAGAATCGATGGATTGCTTTTTTGGCATTTTTTTTCTCTTCCACGAACAAGTGTGAATAACTACTATAAGTTATTTTTGTGTTTTTTGTTTCGGAAGTCCCTATCTGCTTGGTTTCCATATATTTTAAACAACTTTGGAATCTTGCACGATTATAAAGATTTACTGAATATCAATTCACGAGCTTAGATCGGGAAAGTTATTGGTTCTTACGAGTAAACAAGTAAACTAATAAATACATAAATACCTTTGACTGGAGATTGTTCATATAAAATAACAGAAAGAGCGAAAAATTTGGTTTTAAGAAAATTCCAAATCATCATTTTCAGTAAAGAGAATATAGTCCATATTATTCTAAAGGTCTTTTTAGTCATTTTACGATGGTTACACAAAACCCTATCTCCAACTCTCTTATATGTAGAATGGGAAGAATCAAGTGGTTTGGAAAAAAGTTTGATAAAAAGAGTCTGGACAGGGTTTTGGTGTGAAACAAGTATTTGAAAGAAGAAAATAAGAGGTTAGTCTCCTCATTCTTTATATATATATATGTGTGTGTTTTATAACTATTATTGGGCAAGAATCCATTTTTTTTTGTCAACCCATATAGATGTCAAACATAACTAATGAAACTTTTATAGATCTAATGTCACAATGATATTTTGTTTAATATATATACTTGGCTGATAACACGTGTTATATATTGAAGTTGAATTGTAGTTGATGTTATAATTTGATGTGATGTTATAAAAGTTATGTGGTATAACGGCATATTGATGTAGTGAGTTTGATGTCCAAAATGACTTACTAGTATGATCAAAACAAGTGATTGAAGCATCTCCAATGCTCATCTTTATATTTTTCTTTATTTTAGAAAAACTTTTGCTCTAATGTATGCCTCTAAAATAGACTTTCCATTAAAATTGAGGAGAGATGCATTCTCTCTATATATAGAAACATATATTGTTTCTCTCATCTATTTTGGAAGAAACTCTATTTTAAAGACATACATTGGTGCAAAATCTACTCTAAAATAGAGGAAAATATAGAGATGGGCATTGGAGATGGTCTTATTCTTTAAAACTACAATATATGTAATTAAAATATTCATGACGTACATTTTTAGCATATCAACGAAACTATTGCTTAAAGGCTTAGAAACCAATGTGATTGTGTTAGTGTGGAATTGTAGACTATGATTATAACACATTGACAATACTAGTAAAAACTATTAGTTTAGAAGCTTTGGTTGGTAACTACTTTTTCAAAAGCTTAGTAAGTTCATTTTAATCGATATCAATGGAACGCAAGATGGTAAAAACCAAACATGCATGTTATTTTTGGTTTAATGCCACAAGAACTAGGTGGGTTGAACTCGTGACCTTGAGCACTCACTCTCAAGATCACTAGGCCACCACCCACTTGGTCATATTCTTGTTTTGCCGAAGCTTTAATTTTACAGATTTTCCCTCAAGAAAATTGCCACCCCTTGCCTGAAGCAAGGTTTGAACCCTGGTTCAGAGAGCGCAACCACCTTTGGAGAGAAACTTCTCAAACAGGTGAGCTGCCTACACTTGGTCACTTATTTTGCTATTGATTTGGTAATTTTACGTAGGTAGGTTTTGTTGTTTGTCAATCCTTTGGTAGATTTGATACCTAATCGAACATCTTACATGTTATATGAACGGTGTCCTTGCTGTGTATTATTATGTGTCTGCATATTTGTGAAACCAACCAACAAAAAGGAAAACCATCAAACATGCACTTGTGCGAGTCATGTTAATCTATTTTTTAAAAACCAGTGGAAAATGGTAAATGTTTCTTATCTATAAGACTATAAAGAATATTAGTCGCAAATACAATTATTCTTTTGAAGCAAGCCTATATCTCCTCTCCTATAGATAACCATTTTATATGACAAACTAACGATGTCTCTTTGCTTATCTGATCACAGAAAAAGCCAAATGAAGATCTGAGTCTTGACAGTTTCCATGGCTTTTTATTCTATTATCTATACAGAACCTGCGAATCCTACGCAACTTAATGCACAACAAAGGGTCCTGTTTGGGTCAGGACATTCACAAACAGCAGCCTTCAACTATTGCAGCATCGGTTGGCTCTCTTCTGATAGTGTTTCAAGTTCTTTGAGAGCTTGCTCGATCGCATAGATCACCATCTTCTTTATCTGTTACACGAACATAAACAAAAAGCATAAAATGGTTAGACCAGTAAATGCATACAAAAGGAGAGAAGAACTAATTTGGGTCGTTCCAAAAGTATCATAAAAGACGGGCGTAGCAGAAAACTTAAATTAGACTAGCAAAAGCCATTTCAAAATAAAAATCGTTTTACAATTAAGTCGAGACATTTTTAACTCGATATTTCTAATTTCATCCACTAGCTTTGATGCGTTTCTTTTTGGAAAAAACGTTTTAAAAATTTTCAACTATTGTTGAAAAAAATTCCCAATTTTCTCTTCGGTGAAATATATAATCAATTTTTGTTGATTTTCCAATTAAATCGTAAACTTTTGTTGATTTCTCATTTTAATCGTTAATATTAGTTGACTTTGCTAAAATAGGACGTTAGTTGTTAAGTGGACTGACAGAGTAAATTAGCGGTGTTATGTCTTTGTTGAAAGTTTTTGTTAACCCATAAATTAACTCTGCTAATTTATTTTGTTAGTCAAATTCACGACGTAATTATTTTGGCAAAATCCACTAAAGTTGACGATTAAAATGAGAAGTCAACAAAAGTTTACGATTTAATAATAAATCAACAAAAATTTATTATATATTTCACCAAATGTAAAAATGAGGATTATTTTCAACACTTTTGCATAGTTGGAGATTTTGCGGACATTTTTCCCTTTCTTTTTTACACTAAACTTCATTTATTCGTGGTAGAAATCGGGAATGGATACCCCGAATAGAGACTTCTAATATGTTTGTCCTTGCTTTAGATGAGTAGACGTCTGAAATGAAAGGCCGATCACCAGAGACTAGAGAATCAATATTACAGAAGTATTGAATCGTTTAAACTCGATGTGGATGCAATGCTCTCAAATGATGAGTCTTGTTGTGTTTCCTTCCATGAGAAGGTTTTTGAACAACCTAACTGAAACCGGAGCCGGAACATGAGGAGTCAAAACTGGTCGACTAAGATCCGATTCAGAGTAAACGGAAACCAACCAGATCTCGATTCTAGCTTTGGTGATTTGGAAAATAGTTTCAATTGCATCTATTTCTTTGGATAATTGGGAATCCCAACCACTAGCTCTTTTTTTTTTTTTTTGTCATCCGAAATTAACTAGAGTCATTCCTGGGGAATGTTGCTTACATATGTGATATGAAGCGGTTCTATACGAACTCAACCACTAGCTCTTATAATTTATAAAAGGGATTACCAGTGCTCAGACTGTGGACCGCTTGGTATTCTTGCCAGTTAAGACATTACAATGACCAACCATGACCAAAACTATTCTACGCAGTTACAAGCATGACCATCTAAACCCATGCAAAGACCATCCACCGACAACTCGCAATTTCTTTCTGTTAGTTGAAATCTCATTGTTGTAGGTCGAATCCCCGATAGTCGTATCATCCAAGATGATCACTAGACCAAGTATTCTAAAGTTAGTCGACCCACCATTTTCCACCAATTGAAACCACATGAATTCAAAACTTCTGGTATCATCTAAGATATAGGATCATTGGACCTAAATTTTTCGAACGAGATGAATTCTTTTGCTAGTTGGACCACATTGTGATGGAGTCATGTATTTGAATCCGAGATATTTGCAATCATCCATGATCTAAGATCGCCAACCAAAAAACTTTCGACGTTAATCGAAAGCCCTATACTTTTTTGTCAATTTTATAGAAATTTTCATAATTTATTAAAACCCCAAAGTAAATTAAAATACAAGAACAACCCAAACAATATTGTAGCAAAAATATAAAGACATTACATGAAAGCAAACAAAAGTAGGTAAACATATATGAAGACATTTTGTTTCAACGATTTTAAGGTTCTTCCATTATCACGCATTGTTGTGTTCAATTTATTGACCATTGAGAACGTGGGAAGAAATCGGAGTCGCTTACACGTACCGACAACCCACCACGTTTAGTGTTATATCCTTTAGCCAACAATATTGATCGTATGATCCATCAAGATAACACCACGCCAAGGATGCCACGATTTGAGGAGTTGGTAGTAAATCAAGATTGATTGTATGATCCATCAAGATCATATCACGCCGAGGATGCCACGATTTGAGGAGTTGGTAGAAAATCAAGAGCTAGCCATTCATAGGATGCATTGGAAACCATATGCGTGTAAGATGATGGCAACTAACCACCAACTATCCCGGACAATCAGGGGCGGATCTATGTTAACTAATATGGGGGCAGTTGCCCCCCCTAAATTTTCGAAATTTCTTAAGAATTTTAAGGATTTATTTTAATTGCCCCCCATTAAAAAACTTTCTTGCCCCCTTTAAACTTTAGTTTCCCAATTAACCAATTCTCGTTGACTAAAAAAAGGTAACTGAATATTACATATTCCTTTTCCCCTTTAATGTAGCTTAATTCTTTACAAATTTAGTTCCAAAATTTAAATAACAACGTAATCTAACATACATATACCGTAATATTTATTTCCCTTTGTATCAAATTGAAATTTAATATTTAGAAAAATCAGTCATTTCCCATAATTTTGGTGGTTTATATTTATGGTAATTGATTTCTCTGTAATATTTTCTGTGTGTTTTTCTCCAAATATTTGAGTTTTCTATTTAACAATAAATCTAAAACGTTAGTATACAAATTCTGGTAAATTTAAGTTTAAGCTGAGAGTCATTTAAAATTTTATTTTTTTGTAAAATTTAAATCAAATAGATGCTAATTCTAAATCTCGAAATTTTTAAATATTACTCTTTGAATCGTTCCAACTTTAATTATTTTTAAAATAATCTTCCTATTATATTTAATTGTTAATTAAAATATTGTATTCATTTTTCTTATATACATTATTAATTATATATATCATAATTAAATAAGGCAAAAACTATGTGAATTTTTTTTTTACAAAAATATATTTATATTTTGTAAATATCGATCGCCCCCCCTAAAAAAAATTCCTAGATCCGCCACTGCGGACAATTGAACGAGGTGCATTAAACCTACACCCGGATCTTCATTCGGTGTAGTGACAAGGATCTTATGACAATTAAAACTCGAAACTCGAATCTCTCATTCAGTGACAAAGACAAGGGACTCAAGTGCAGAGAGAGGTCCCCTCTGCAACTTGAGCCATGATATTTTGTTGATAGAAAAAGTCTACTTGCAACCCTTCCCTTTGTTGTGGAGACAATGTCATGGTCTTCAATCTTGACCGGATTTGGGTAAATCGATGATTCAACACTTCTACACAAAAATCCTATTTACCCTAAAGTACCAAGGCATCCTAAACTATATTTTTTGGTCAACAACATGCAACACGCAGAGCCGGCGTATGGGGTGTGCTTGTGGAGCAAATGTGCAGGGCCAAAAAATTTTTAGGTAAATTTAAAGGCCCAAATTTTTGATTTAGTAAGAAAAAAGATAATTTTAAAAACTTTAAGATATTTTTAGCATGAAAAAGGTCTAAATGTTTTTTTTAGTATGAAAATGCCAGTTTTAAAGATTTTTTTAACATGAAAAAGGCCCATTTTTTTTTGTATGAAGAAAGGGCCAATTTTAAAATTTGTACAGGGACTCCAAAATTAATTGAGCCGGCCCTGGCAACATGTAGGTTGAATATAGGTGGTGACACAGAGAGGACAATAGCACAACCCGAGCACTCAAGATTTTTTATTATTGAGGCCGGTTACAATAAAGCCCATGAGGGGCATTATTTTGCATTCGACCTCACTAGTTTTCAATCTACGTGTTTAAGTTTACATGGAAAAAAACATTGCAAAACAAAATCACATTTAAAAAAGAAAACAATTTTCTTTTTAGATTTGTTAAATATACACACCAAAGTCCAAACGCAGACGAAAAGCATTTGTGCAAACTAACAAGCATTGAAAGCACATTTGAAAGAGAGAAAAAAAACCCAATGAAAGCTTAAATAAGATTAGGTTATCAATAGGTCGGATGTCATTAGATTATTATGTAACTCTTACTCCTGTTAGGTAGAGATGGGTAATTAGTGTTTTTTTTTTAAATAATAGTATTACCTAATTGAATTAAACAATTTTACCTAATTGAAAAAAAAAAAACAATTTTGGTCATTTTTTATTTGATTTCGTCATTGGTTTTGGGTTTTGTACGGCCAACATGATCTTAAAAACATCAAAAATGATTGAGTAAATCGGTTTGGTCTAGGTTTTGGTTTGGTTCAATTGCCCATCTCTCCTAATTGAATTCAGATATCCCGAAAACAAACCCCAACGCATCAAGCAAATATGCAATATGATCACAACCAACAAAATCGAAAGGATAGATAAGATAAAGAGATAAAAGACTTGCCTCAAGTTTGTCCTCTCTGGCCTTGTGGTTCTTGGGAAGTTGGCGAAACTCTTCGGTCAGACGCAGACACTCATGGATGTTTTCTGGTGACACAAAGTCAACTGCGACTTTTGTGCACGACTGTCCAAATCACAAAGACGAGTTTTCATCAGATTTTCCACTATAAAAGCAAATTGTGTGAAGTAGAAGAAGAAGAAAAACCATTCAGTTTACCTTTAGATTCCGAACTTGATGAGGACAACCCGCAGGAATAAACACTGCTTCACCTAGCTTTTGCACAAATGTCCATGGCTCGATCCCTACAGTTTCAAAAAAGAACTTTTAACTCAAAAGATTGACTCAAAACATCATCCCCAAGTAAACGGTTACATACCAAATTCCGCCTTGAGTTTTCTTTTGTGCTCTAAGGTTAAATAGCATGTTTGGTCATGTATCGGATGATAAACCTGAAAAGAAGAAACCCCGTCAGTACCTGAAAAGTATATTCGTCAAAAAATTGATGCAGGTGGGTGTTGTTACCTTTGTAACTGGACAACAATAAGTGTGTCTAAATTCTTTGCAATGCCTTCTTAGATACTCTTCTAACTTAGGAACATCTTCTCTCCTAAATATGTCCCAAAGAGCACTGCCCGTTTCGTCATATTCATTGCTCGAAATCTCTGGCATGTTCAATTCTTCTTCTTCCTCTTCGCTACAAAATTCAGTGCTCTGTTTATCAAACATGTTCTGTTGCCTGTGTTTCTGTTTCAGTGCTTTGACTGCGGATATTTGTTCTTGACTTAGGGTTACTTCGGCCGTATGCGTCAGAATATTCACCTACATGAATTACAAAGTCAGTCTTTGGACTACTTAAAACCAAACGAAGAGTGATAATTGAAAGCTTTACCGCGTCTGACATATCGCAGTGAAGCTTAGTCACAGAATCGCCTCTACCAAGCTCATCTGGAATCCCATAGGCAATGTAAGTTTTTGGACCCAAATCTGGTTTGATAAATCCTTCAGGAAGCTTTGTTGCAATGTTAAGAATTCCGGTTCTAGGATCGCTATATTCTTGGAAAGGTAACGCGGAGATAAACTCATCACAATGACGAGGTAAAAGATCTTCAAACTTATCAGAAGGAGGCCAGTCCTTCAGCTTCAACATCTCAGGCCAGAAGTTTTCATATGTTCTTCCTTTGCTATAACCTTCAAAGAAATGACGAGTATTGATCTCCACCTCACAATTAGCTAAGCAATCAATTGCTTTGACTTGGGACATCTGAGAGCTTGCTGTTGAATTCACATTTTCGCATAACGCCCGCCACATAACCATCGGCTCCCAGCTTAAACCAGGTGTGTTGTCAAGAGCGTTCCTGACGATTACTGGTTCGCCTTTTGCCCAATGCTCTTGAAAATGAAGAAGCCCTTCTTCCTTCAAGACACCAAGAGATTCAGGACAGAAAAGGTAGTTGTCACTCGATTTTGTCCTCGAAGCTGCTTTCCTTGTCATCTCGGTCTCTAAAGAAGAACACCTACAGTTCAACATTCTAGGGCTAATATTGTATGATGACAAGAAACTCTCTGCTTTGTGCTCTAAGTCTGACATCCACGTCAGTGGTAGGATCCGCTTAAGCTCTAGCACACAATCACCACAACCACCTAGATTTTCTGGTGCACAAGTGATGCTTCCATTATCACCAAGGCTCCACTTAGCGTTGGATGGGTTAGCTTCTTCGTCTTCAGAAGTGGAAGAGGAGCCTGGTTCCGCGGTATCTAAACCATGCATATATTGATATCCTCTATCAACATAATGTAATTTCATTTCAGGGCGTTCGGAAAGCGATCCTTCACGAATCTCTTGACAGCACTTTAAACATAGTTCATAAGAGCACTTTGGGCAGCTTCGGTGCAAGTCCTCAATTGAAGTTGCACAATGATCACTGCAACACATGAATATTTCAGTAAGATCCTCGAGAAATTAAAAATACCCAAACTTAGTGTGCTTACTTACCAGTATACACGTTCATCAGTGTAGCTTATTGTCTCAGTTATTACAACTTCAGAAGGCAGTAATCCTACAGAAACACGTCATGTTACCAAAAAACTCACATTTAGCAACAAAAACCATGTCTTGGTAGCGCAAGATTCATACCTTGAACCTTTGCCTCAAATTCAATCTCTTGCTTCTGGAATTTGGATAACTTATTCAGAATAGGAAGCATCAATGTAATCAAGTACTGGAGATGATGACGTCTTTCAGAATTCGCGAGCTCCCTCTTCGATGTCTGTAAAGACAGAAAACACAAGTACCAGTTAACAAAAAATCCAAATCTTCTGCAAATGGATTGCTAGAAATAATCTCATCATACCTCGATTAAACCATTCAAATGCAAGCATTTACTGCAATTACAATTTTGGCGGCAGAAAGGACATTTTTCAACAACATCATCCTCAGATAGATGTGGATACCTACAACAAACCACAAATAGAGTAAGGACATATTATTACAAGACAGATATATATATATATAGTATCAAAGCTAAGACAGAAACTAACCATTTCCTTATACATTTAAGGCAATACATCGTCTCTTCACATTCACTGCAAATCAGAAGAGTTATCCTTTCCCCTTTCAAGCACTGATGACAAATTGGGCCGCCTTCCTTCGATTCCTGCCAACACAACATTATATATGTTCAGTACAGTAACACATTGATATCTCTTCTTTGATCGAACATAAAGACAAGTTTACCTGTTTTCTGCTAGTAGTGCAGTCATTAGATATCCCATTTTTCAGAATGGAATCTGATACATCAGAAGCTGGAGACCGTGAACGAGAAGGACTAACATCAGTAACATTTTCAGGACTGTTAGAACTTAAATTGCGGGTTCTGCTTCGTGACGATGTTGCCTTGATCTTACAACATAGTCGAAGTTCTTCTTCCCATTCCTCATCTTCTTCAAGTTCTACTTGTCGCTTGTCTTTCCTTTTACTACTGACATCAGAAAACCAATTACCTACTGTGCAATCATCACCTTCTAAATATTCCCCTGACTCTATCTTAACCATAACTTCTTCTTTGCGCTTATCTCTCCGTTTCGCAGTATTCCTCCGAACCCAATCACTTAATATGCAGTCATCATCTTCATAATACTCATCACCGATTTCTTCTACTTTGCATATCTTTCTCCTTCTTTTCGCATTCCGTTTAACCACTGAATCATCGCTCTTCCGTTTCCTGTTAAAGACTTTAGCTCTTGTCTCACCATCTTCACCTTTTGACTTAAATGGTTTCAGACTTCTCTTCTTCCTAGTCGTCCACGAATATTGATAAGATAATTGGCAACAATTCATCACACTATAATGCTCCAATTTATCTCCAGAATCCATCTTTAGCTCTGCAAACAAAAATCGCCAGTGATAATTCTATAAACGAGATTTACCCCAAAATTGAAACAAAACGATTCTGAATTAGTGTTTGATTTTGAAAGACCAACAATTCAAGTTCTTCGATCATAATCAATCGCAATAAAACAGTATATGATCAATCGATTCCAATCAAAACCCAAACAACATTGTTAAAACCAAATCGATTCAAAAGATACAACAATTCCAGAAAATTGGAATCGGAAGAGGATCGAAACTAAAATTTACCTTATGATGAACACAAAAAAAAGCTCGAAGAACTTTGCAACGATGAATCTCCTTCGAAAACGAATCTAAACCCTAGATTCGAGCTACGTAGTTAGACGAAGATTTAACAAACTCTGGATTCTTAAACTTAGCTTTCCTTTTTATTTCATGACCAAAAAAAAAAGGAAAAAAGTTTTTTATTCGGAGAGATTTTCGCAGAAAGGAAGAGGAAAATTTGTGAGCACGGAAAAAAAAAAAGAATCGTAACAAATCTCACGTTAAAGCACTGTTTGGGACCAATAAGATCCGTGGACCGCAAGCAATTAAATAACTGCGTCGCAGGCGATTAATACCTTCACCGAGGCACTCGCTTTTTCATCTGTCTGAACTCTGAAGGAAGGATTTATTTCATTTATAAGCTTTTTTTGTGTTAATAATACATTTTGGAAAGTAAAAATAAATTAATTTTGTGCAATGTATTGGTGTTTGGAAACAGTAAATATTCACCACGTGGAAAACAAAATAAAGTACGTTACTAAACTCAGATCTGAATAATTAAAGCATTACTTATTATTTTATTCAACAAGCTAAAAAAGCATTAAATAATTTCCGGATTTAATTCTACTTTAGTCAATGTTTTTTAGGAGGGGTTATTGGTTCATGGATTTATAAGGAATTAGAAATCCAAACAAAAATCATTTGTTATTCAATCATTGATTTTAAAATCCTAATTAAAATCATGTGTTATTGGTTCTATGAATTTTAAATACTAGTTGAAATCCTTTGTTATTCGTTTAATCATTTGTTTTTGGATTTGAGAATCCAAATTATGTTTTAAATGGATTTGAATGGAATTGAAAGAGAAAAATAGAAGGATTCAAATCCATGGGTAAACACATGTTATTTCAAAATCCATATATCTTGATTTCATAATTAATAGAGATTTTCAAATTCTATATGGATTTACAAATTAATAAACCAATAACACCCCCTTAATTCCTTGTGGATTTTCTTTGCATTGAAAGAGATATCTTTTGATTTGCATTTATTGTTGTTCTTACTGATATTTAATTGGCATGTTTATCGTTATAGTAATCAACACTTTTTTAAGGTTATGAAAAAAAAAAAAATCGTATGAGATTTATCCGAATCCAAGATCTTCTGATATCTTTTTTTTTAACAACTCAATAAATTCATTAGATTCTCATAAGTCATAACTAACCAGGAGTTTCGTTCCTACAAACATGAATTAATATCTGTAGATATTATCTGTGATTTAATACCGTTAGGTTTTTAAGATTTTTTTAACATAATCACAATAGATTGACTAATTAAATAGTGTATCAAAAAGAAAAAATTAAATAGTGTATCAAATTTTTTAGTTTTTTTGTAGATGTAAAATTGTTTTAATTGGATATAAGACCATCCGCAGTGGTGTAAGTGTGAGGGAGGGGTGTAAGATTTTTTTTATTATTATAATTTAAAGTGAGAGAGAAAAGAGAGAGAGAAAGAAAGAGAGAGATAAAGTGTCTTACACCCGAGTGTAAACTTACACCCGGGTGTGAAGAGAGAGACAACTTTTGCATTATTTCTGTATTTTAAAATAGATACACCCCACGACAAGATACACCACTGCGGATGCTCTAAGCCTTATGAGTTATGCCGTTCCATTCTATTGGGCCGGGCTTCGATGTAAAACTCTTTTAGGATACTTTTTTTTTTACGATATTTTCGTATCATGGATCTGATTAACCCTTGAAACACGAACTATATAGGTAGTCCTCTTGACCAAACCAATTAGATGCGATGCTTACGTCTAGTACGATACATATGTCGGAAACTTTTCTTAAAATTGTTTTATGCTAATAAATAAAAGTTTATAAGGAAAAACTTATGTAATTAAACTTTTACAACAGTAAAGATAAGGTACATGTATGTATTATTATGGTTTTGTACAGTAATTAAATTAAATCATACTAATAAATAATTAAGATAGTTGTTGTTGATTTTTGGTATAGAACTATGTTTTTAAGTTTAGATTTATTTAAAACATAATTTTATTTTAAATAATATTACATTTAAAAAAAAGAAAGATAGTTGTTGTTGTTGAGCCAAAGAAAAATACATTTTTGACAACCAAACAAAAAAATACTTGCCAATTGGAAAAATATACCGTTTCATTTCAAGTATCATTTTAAAAACAAAACGTCTAATTTAATAGTATTTATTTCAACTGAAACCATGATGCAATTCATTCCAGAAACAACAATTACAAAACCGATGTAACAAAAAAACGAAGCAATATGAAATTTGCATTTAATCACCTCTTTTTTTACAACAAGCTCAAACAAAACAATGATAATCAATCATCCTATACTATTATTTGGGGAGTACACTTTATAAGAAACCCTTAACTAACCTTCTCTTTTGTAAAAAATTACATGAGAATGCCATTACAAAAAACTTATTTTAAAACAAATTTAATTCAATTTATTAAGGATAAACAAGTAAAATATTAATTTATGTTATTTAATTAATTTAATTAAATTATAAAACGAAAATCTGTTATTATTATTTTTTTAAATGACCAATCAAAATGAACATATAAGATTTGATATCTAATTTACCATATTAATTTGTTATTAATTATTAATCTTCACCTCTCATCTTTATATGATTATATTTATATGAAACAAATAAATCATCATATCATATACATAATAAAAAAAAAGTAATTTTTTCTGCATATGCCAAAATTTGAATTTTTAAAAACGCATATAAATTGTTCAATCTATAAAGGAAACAATTAAACGGGTCAAAAATTCAGACTTGAGTAATATATTTCTTTTACATAAAAATAAATTCAACAAAAATTCCGACTGAGCAACGGGTCAGAATTTGAATATTTATATTCGATTTCATACATTTTTTTTTTGAAATGTATAATTTTATATACTACAATAAAAATTTAAATATTTTAATTTGCAACATTTAAAATAAGTTTTACTTGATATTTTTAGAGAATATCATCAATACTTAATAGTTCAAAAAGTTAAAAATTATAAATACTCTAATTTGATTATTTTTAAAAATATTTATAATAGATAGCGGGTTAAATATAATATATTATATAATGAAATGAGTTTTGATCCTTATAACTATTTGAATAGTTATATTTAATTTCAGATAATTTGTTTTTTGAAATTCATAATTTTATAAACTACAAATTTTTTTTTAAAGATTTTAATTTGGATAGAACATTTAAATATGGTTTGACACCTCTAAATATTTGAAAATTTGATTCCGCAAGCAATTTTAGAATTAACGAATAATAGATTGTGCACGCAATATTTTAAAATGAAATTTTGAAATTCTAAAATAAAAATATAAAATCCACGCACAGATTGATTTTGGTATTATTATATACTAAATATATGTTTATAACATATTCGATTATGCGAATAATTGGTAAATTCCGTAATTATAAATCTCAAACAAATTCTGTAATTAGATTAGCTCAAACAAATCTCTATTTCAACAACCAAAGAATTATAAATTGAAAAACAATTTTCTAAATTAATTCAAAATAATAGTTAATTTTCTTAATTAATTCAAAATAATCTATCTTTTATATGCGATTCATTTATGATATTTTAATTTTTGATCTAACAGAAATATATGCAATCCTATTTTGTGGTTGTTAACATAAATTAACTCATTGTTCAAAAAATATTACTTTTTAAAAAATAAAATTATTTTCTGTTTTCATATCTTTTAAAAAAAATTATCCACAATTGAGTATTATAGAAAAAAAATCTATATTTATTCTAATATTATATATAGGGACTGACACAAAAATTAATATTTTTTACTTACTATTATAATATATTAAAACTTAGTTCTAATATATATATTATATAAATTTTATAATAAATAAAATTTAACCCGTACTTTAGTACGGGTGATGATCTAGTACAAATATACAAAACCTTTCACAACACGTAACAAAAAAAAAAACCATTTCACTTATTTACTCATGGACCATCAAGGCTCCGGTTTTCCTTTACCCGTATCAAGTTGATTAAAAGGCGGCGATTGTGACGAGCCACGGCTCGCATTGCTGCTCGCCACAGTGGTTCTCCGGGATCTTTGACGTGTGGTTGGTACAACTACACAATCTTCATCATCTGAATCCTCGATTAGTCCCTCTTCATCTTCATCTTCTTCGTCTTTGAAAACCGGATGAATATATGCATTTTGAAGAAACCCTTTAAGATTTAAGTTTGGTTCTTTTGCTCTTTCCAATGTATCCTTAATCATAGCTTCCTGTAAACCGGTACTCACGAGATTAAATAACACATACCGAACCATAAAATGTAGTCTAGTTTAAATTTGTTAACCGAGAGTTCTCAATCTTGGTGTAGGAAAATGGAGCCAAAATGTTGTGGGATTTAATAGACTAACCTGCAAAGGGTTAATGACGAATGCGGACTCGTACCGGCCTTTGCAAAACCGATGAAAACCGAAGGTGAGAATCGCTAGAACGAGGAGGAAAGGCGTGGACTGAACCTTTCCTTTCGTGCTCATTAATCCCAACAAAAGAATTTGTGAGATGATCAATGCCGATATTATACGTCCATGAACGTCCGGCCAGAATGCAGCCGCGCTCTCATACTTCTGATCGTACACATTTATGATCTGCAAAGAAACCCGGTTTAGCTAAATAACCAAGAAAACCAAATGTTATCTTGTTTGATCCTTGCTCAAACCGTTTGGCTCCAAAAACTGTTAACAGAAACAGAGAGTTTGTTTCTTTTTTAACCTGATGACGGAAGACGAGGTAGGCGAAACCGAAGAAGAAGATGATGAAAGGAAGTAGAACAGGTGTGACTGGAGCGTAGACAAGGCCAAGGAGGAAGTATAGTTGAATCCGAGGCTCTGTAGCGTAGAAATCGATTTGTCCCGGATCCATAGCTTCTTCTCTGTCCTTTTCAGTTTTCACAAAGAAGAAGTTCTTTAAATGGAAAATGACTAATGGTTTCAGCCTAAAAATCTCTCCGGCCACACCCGCCCAACCGTCTACCATTATATATGTTATAAAGAAGGTTGCTTTTATCGGTATCGCTACTCCAACTGTCCGCGGAATGCTAAAAAAACAAGGATGTAAAAGTTGAGAGCAGAGTTTCGAGAGAGTAAAAGTGCGGGTCTAGCTAATGATCGAACTTACTCGTTTGCGGATTGTTTAAGAAAAGAATCGAGCTGTTCAAATGCAGATCCAGTGATAATGCTACCGAGGAAAACATTCACAAGGTTGAAAATATAGTATCGAAAAGCCGCTCTTCTCTCTAACGATGATATTGAAATAAACCCTTCGAATTTCGACATGATCATCAAAATTGTTGGCAGAAATATCAAAAAGAGCTTCAAGACTATACCGGGAAGAAAACCTTGGATCAATGATTTCATAAACTTCCTGCGCACACAACATTGAACAAGAATTGAATCAAGCCTATTCTCAATTGAAATGGTTAGTAAGAAACTTGAGAATGTACCTACTTTTCGACAATGGGACTGAGGAACGGAGCGGATTTCTGGATACCTTCAATACTCGCTAATGATTGCACAAATGCGATTGGGATGATGAAAAAGAATGTGAGGAAGAAGAAGGCAATGTGCATTACAAATCTCCTTACAGTGAGAGATACGTAAGGCATTGCGAGATTTGGCCAGTACATTTCTCTTGCCTCGGGAGCCCATTCGGTTAACCATTCAGTTGGATTCTTCGTCTGTTGTGTCTGTGCGCAGACCGCAGCGCCCCAACGCGTTTTAAAAGACACAAAAGCTGCTGGCATTACACTTTTGTCATCTTTCTTTATTCTCTTCCTTTCTTCCATTATCTATGAAAAATCAAATCAACCCGAGAAAGCGAACTATGTCACATTGAGTTTAAGTGTTTTATAGCCAAGAACACAAATCTGAAAACAGAGAAATCAAAACCGAAAACCGCAGTGTGCACCCCTAGAGGAAACGATACTTACTTGCTCGCTAAGTTTCTCGATCTCAGCTGTATAATGATCCATTGCATCTACTTTCTTTCCCCATAGCCCGAGAAATCCCAACTGCGAAATCAGACAAAATTTTCGCTCTCAATATGTGTTTCGACTTTTCGGGTTTGTCAAAGTATTTACCTTTACCCGTGGCCGTTGTTCCTTGTTTCTTGAATACTTCAAATGGTAATAATCTAACCAATTCTGCATTTTCTTCTTATCTTCTACCAATTTAGCCAATTCATTTGCATTGTACACCACCTGGATATATAGTCTAAAATACTTAACCAACCAAGAAAATAGCAATAAACCGAAATAAAGATTCATTCCTCCAGGGCTAGGATCTAACCTGATGTGTAAGATAATGGTCCGGGTGGTTAACAAGAAAGAAATGCTGCACGTTTTCGCTAATTGACTCGTCTGAGTCCGGTGGTACGTTCCTAACCAGAACCTGTCATATGCAGACAATATCCTAAAAATTGGAACCTAGCTCTTAAGACCACATAACAGAGAGATTATATATAAATGAAAATTAAAAAAAAAAATCTTACAGTGAATTGATCAGCGCGTCGCTTCTCGGATTGGAGAAAAGATAACCGCATTGCAGCAATTTTCTCATATTCCTTCATTAGAACATAGCAAGTCCAAAATGTGAATGCATAAGCCATCACAAGATGTGCCCAAAACCTTTTACCAAATTAAGACATTTTAATCATTATAGAGTAAAATTTTTTTTTTTAAAAAGCATCAATTACAGAATTTTCTATCTCTAACAAACCTATCTGATCCACGTTCGACATTTGAAATCGAAAGCTTATCGATATTACTCGATGTCACATTACGAAGTTTTGCTAGCTGCAATCCATCACTTGTCCAATTGACAGGTACGAGTATCGACCATGAAAGTAATGCGATAGGGACAAAGATCTTAAGACTATAAAATAGTAAAACAAAAAAAACCATTAGAAACAAAGAACAAAGCTATAATTAGTATTCTCTCTTCTACTATCTCAAGATCAATGCTCAACAAACTTGTAACTATTTAGGCACATTGTATGCAAGAACAAAGAATTTTGAACATTTTTGATTACCCAATCAAGTAAATCCTCAAGTAAACAGCAGAATCCAAACCAGCATGATCAATAAGTTCAGGCTCTGGCATCTTCAAAGCGGCAGGCATCCAATTTAAAAACCGAACATATGATCGAAAGTCCAAATTCATAATCTTGCTCACGAAAGCACCCGAATTCACCGGGCTGCTTCTAACACCTTTTAAGTACCATTTAGGGAAATAAACCCTATCATTGAATGGTTGGATCCTCAAGATTGCAAATAGCAAAAGAAATATCAAAGCACTTAGAATATTAATCGCTGCTGCTACTCCAATATCTGCTAATGTCGCCATATCTTCAAACTATGTATAAACCCTCACAAATTCTCTCTTCACCTGCAAAAAATATAAAGTTTTAGCCACAAAGATCAAGTTTTAGATTTGTATAATAATTAAAGAAGCTTATACTAATCTCACATTTAGAAACCCATTACCTAGAAAATTTTGGCCCTCTCGTTGACTCTTTTTTTTCCAATGTTCTTGCGATCAGATTGGTTAAGTGAGGACGTGTGTAGATTGTATAGAAGATTCTTCAATCATCAAAGTTTCTTCAAGGAAAAGCATTGCCAAAGTTTTTTTGCTTTCCCTTCTCCTTCCTCTGAAAATAGAAACAGAGAAAGAAACAGAGTATTGAAACAGAGAGATCGGTTCTGTTAACAGCACATAAATGGGTAAGAGAAGAAAAGAAACTTCATGCCGTTTTTGTTGATACAAAACGCTGAAAATACACAGAGAAATAGAAGAAGAAGAAGAAGATGATGAAAAAATTGTTGTTGTTGGTCGGCCGTCTAACTCATAGACTATTATTACTTGAAAGTTGGCAAAAATTCATAAAAATGTCTCAATTGGGTTTATTCCTAAATTTAACTTAAACCAGCTCTAAGTTTTTTTATTATTATTACACATTCTGCCTTCTTTGTTTGTAGATATATACATGCTTATTTTAGAGATAAAGTTTAGATCAAATAAATAAAACAATGACTTTGTTGCCAAAATAAGATAATGACTTCATAGTTGACCCAAGTTAAAAAATCATGAAAATAGCTTATACATTTCTAATTAAATTGTTACTAATACTACTCAAGTAAAAAAATCATGAAAACAGCTTAGACATATATCTATTTTTTTTGTCAATTACAGCTTAGATATTTCTAATTAAATTATTAGTAATACTATACTTTCTACTTGAGAATGAACATGAATGTATATGAGTCTTGATTTTTTGTTAATCTCCTAATTAGTGACGAATCTGATTAGCGATACAAATCGATGTGTTTTTTTCAACGATAGAACGGTAAAAATATCAATATAGTTAAAAAGAAGTGAGAAGTAACTGTACAAATAAAGTTGAAAATACTGCTAATTAATACCGTGTTTCTGTGTTTGTGATTGGTTTCAACGTAAATGATATATCCGAAATAATAATATGGTTACAAATCAGAACCAACATCAAAAAATAATCTAAATCACAGGTTAAATCCGGATGCAAACAAAAATATAGGGATTATATAAATATTCAACTGTAGATTACACATCAGATTGGACATCCGATTGGAACTTTTGTTTAATCCATAACCAAAACTTGTAGCTTAGTTGTTGCCTTGTTGGGAGGTAACGGTAACTTCTAGCTTATTAGTCACAACGACGTCGTTTATTTTTTTTATGTAAAACGTCGCTTTAGTCAACTATTCTTCTGTTCTTCCACTCATTCATTCGCGTTTTGAGAAATCGCGTGCCATCACGTTGAAGTCTATATTTATCATAATCACCTTTTTGTTTATTTTATTCCCAATATGAATTACTTTTCTTACGTCCAAATCTATGTGAATAATCTAGCTACATTATTCTTCTTTTTCTTTTCTAATGACCACCTTCCAGTGTATATAATTTATTACAGAAATTTTTCTAAAGACGTGCGTTAAGACTAACTGGGATTACATCAAAACTGTATAATTATTTTTTAACACTCTCATTAAATTAGTGCTTGTAGTACCATGTCCAAAAGGTAAACCTTTGTATCAAATGCTATGAATAAATATTTAAAACAAACAAAAATGGTTGTGAATACAATTTTAAATTCTTAATTTAATTATCTTGAAAAAGTAGTTAATAGTGTTTGCATGTGCTATATTTCCTTTAATAAAACAAAAAAAAATGGCCTGAGCCTGACAAAAGGAAATTAATAAGTTCTCTTAACTCTGTCTAATTAATATAACACCAAAAACAAATGTCTAGGCCCCAATAAAAATCATAATTTTCTGATTTGCAGAAAGCGTATTTAAAGGCCCACATAGCCACATGTATATAGGCCCCCCAATAAAGCCCAATATTACTGACACATGCTTGTTTATGTTATGAAACACAATGAAAAATTATTCAAGTTACATAAATTATAGCTTTCAACAAGCTGTAGATAGTAGTGGTAAACTAGTAATCAATAGTATTATTATTTACCTAGTTGGTTGGAGCTAATCCAACTTTACTCAACAACATTATTGATATACTATTTCTTTATAATAACATTAAGAACAGTCTACTTGATTAATTTCTTAAAACTTTGAAACCACAATAGACATAAGGTTATATTTTGTAATAGATAAAATAAAAGGTAAAGATTAAAAATAATTTAAAAGGACAGGGACCTTAAATTAATACCAGCGTCAATCTCAAGGATTAAAAGAAAAACTTAATAATTACGTTCAGACAAAAAAAAAAATCCTCACTGAAATTCGAGCAAAAAAAAAAAAAACACTCTCTTCTCTCTTTCTTCACTAGCTTCGTTAAATTCAACAAATCTTTCTCTCCGAACAAGAGAGCTGTGTTAGTTCATCTATGGCTACGGAGAGACCTGACGAAGAGAAACCAGAGACTCGAGTCCAAGATCTGATCCATGGAGGTGGAGGAGGAGCTTCTCCGGTTCAATCACCGACTCGACTTGGTCCAACCCGGTTCTCAGAAGTAGCTGGTGACAAGATTCGTAATACCGGGTCGGATTTTATTGGGTCGATTTTGTCTTGGATCAACGGAGATCCAAACCGGAGTTTGAAAAATCCGGTTAAGAGAGCGAAGAGGAAACGAATCAGAACGGCGAAAACCGCCGCGTGTGTAATCGCACTTGTTGGTTTCTTCATTTTTGTTAATTGGTTTATGCTCTCTCAGCTACACGAAGGACGAGCTTGGCTACGGAGAGGGTTCTCGAAAAAACCGAATCTTAAACCGACGAAATTGAACCCGGATCCGAACCCGAGTATGAAACGGGTATCCGTTAAAGTGTCGGCGAATGTACAGGTAATTAGTTAAAATTAAAAATGTGATTGGTCAATTTTTGTTGTTAACTTTAACTTTTTAACAGTCTGTTTTCTTGTCAAATCAATTTCAAATCCCCAAATATAGTAAAAAAAAATCTTTAATTTAACCCAATGGTTAAATTTGTGTAAAATAATTAAACTTTTGGTCTTATAATTAACTAAAATAAGGATTTTGTTAGAGAAAAATAAAATTATTTGTCTGAGATTTGTTAGAAGAAAATGTGAAAATGTTTTGGTAAATGGTAATTCAACCAAACATTCGTTAAAAAACAAAGTTAGAGTTTTACATGTTTGAGATTTTGCTATTTGAAGTATGAAAAAATCGTGGTGAATGGTAAGTTTATGTAATGTATTATATTTGGATTGATGTTTATGGAAGTTTCATTTGATGTGGTGTATTTGATAGCATGGAGAGAAGAAAAAGATGGGAAAACCAAAGAAGAAATATAATGGAACCTATGGTAGATTGTTGGCTTATGCTGCTCATGCTTTGGCTGAGGTATTAGTCTTATTATTGTTTAAGTTGTTTTTATCCGTACACTTTTCCGACATTTTCGATTATCGAATCCGCAACATTGTTTTCGTAAGGGGCAAAACAAACTTGAACCAAAAGAGTTGTGGAGAGAACCAAAGGACCAAGCTTTGGCTTGGAAGCCTTGCGCTGATCAACGTTCCTGGAAGCCTAATGGTCTGTCTCGCACTCTTACTCACTCCATGAGTTTACTTCTCGTCCCTATATTTAAGTTGTCCTGATTTTGGTGTTGTTTGTGTGGATTTTAGATGGGAAAAATGGATATATAATGGTAACTGCAAATGGTGGCATCAACCAACAGAGAGTTGCTGTAAGTTGTAATTGCGTTACACATTACTCTGTCCAATTTTTTAATTTATTTATTGTCTATTGATTGGATTTCACGGGGAAACAGGTTTGTAACATCGTTGTTGTTGCTCGGATGCTCAATGCGACACTCGTTGTTCCCAAATTCATGTTCAGCGATGTCTGGACCGATGCAAGGTAACTATTGTAAGGTCCCTCCGTTCTCTGTCTCCTTCTATTATTATTGATGCTTTCTTGAAAACATCAAATTTTGACATTCTTGATTGGTATATATGCTTCATAGTCAGTTTGGAGATATCTATCAGGTGGAACATTTTATCAAGTATCTCTCTCCCGATATCCGGATTGTAAAGAAACTACCAAAAGAGCTTCAATCTCTAGATCTTGAGGCAATTGGCAGCGTCGTGAGTTCCTTATACCACTTTTAGTCTAAAAAACCGATTTTATGTGTCTCTTTTTTCTGATGTACTTCTTTTTTATACGTTTTGTCTTTTAAGGTCACGGATATAGATGTCATGAAAGAAGCCAAGCCCGGGTTTTATATGAAGCACATTCTTCCTCTTCTACTCAAAAACAGAGTCGTCCATTTCTTCGGATTCGGAAACCGTTTGGCCTTTGACCCGATACCGTTTGAGTTACAGGTAAAAGACTCTCTTTTAGCACCGTGGATATCGATATCTAACCCGTATTGATCCAGCTTTTTTTGGGGAAGTAGAGGCTGCGGTGTAGATGTAATTTTCATGCGTTAAACTTTGTTCCGAAGATACAAGAAACGGGTGCGATTCTTGTGAGGAGATTGCGAGATAGTGGATCACACCTTGCACCGGTTGACCCGTATCTCGTCGGTCCAAAATTTGCGTCCTTCATATTGGACAAAAAGGCGGGTCCTCTCCATAAGGCTTCTAAGTATCTAGCAGTCCATCTCAGGTTTGAAATCGATATGGTGGCTCATTCTCTCTGTTACTTCGGAGGAGGCGATGCAGAAAAGGCGGAACTTGATGCTTACCGGGAAAAGCATTTTCCGACACTGGCAAATCTAACAAAGACACAGAAGTTTGTTACTTTCCTCTCTTTAATCTTTTTAACCTTATCATAGCGGATTCTATTTCACATGCAATGCTCTGTTTTTGGTCTTGCAGAATGCCCTCTCCGGACGATCTGAGAACGGAAGGGCTTTGTCCGTTATCACCTGAAGAAGCTGTGCTTATGCTTGCGGGTCTCGGTTTCAATCGGAAGACCCGTGTTTTCGTGGCTGGTGCGAATATATACGGTGGGAATAAACGGTTAGCCGCTTTAACGAGTCTCTACCCGAATCTAGTCACCAAAGAGAATGTACTCTCTGAAACGGAGCTAGAGCCTTTCAAAAATTTCTCATCTCAGGTGAAATGAAAAACCCGCGTAAACTAACTACTTTTCGGTATATCGGTTAACTTTTCCATCTAAACTGGTCCGCGAGATTTATATATTTTTTGTTTTCTTCTGTTGTGTAGCTAGCGGTTCTTGATTTCATTGCCTGCGCTGCATCGGACGCCTTTGCGATGACGGATTCAGGGAGCCAATTGTCGTCTCTGGTCTCGGGTTACCGGATATATTACGGAGCAGGGAAAATGCCGACGATCAGACCGAACAAACGGAGATTCTCAGACATATTGTTGAAGAACAATACTATAGAGTGGAAAGTGTTCGAGCAGAGAGTGAGAAAAACGGTTAGGCAAACCAAACATGTATTGGTTAGACCAACGGGACGCAGCGTTTACCGTTACCCAAGATGTAAAGAATGTATGTGTAATGAAGATTGATTATTTGTTTTACATTGTTGGTTCGGTTCGGTTTTATAAACGTTTTCATATTTTCAATGGTATTTGTAGCGGCTACACATGCATTTTAGTGGTCTATTATTGGTATTTTGGTGCTGGAAATACCAAGATTTGATTTGGCAAACCCGAACGGTAAGAAACATGAGAGATAGGTGATAATTGATAACCAAAAGTATGAAGTCTAATTTTAGTGTAACAAAATCAAACTAAATGGTATGTATATTGTTGAAGAAATAACTAGAATTTTATATTCTTAACATATATACACATCTATATCAATGTAATCATCTTACCTATATAAATTTAACTAAACCGTTACTGTTTGTATTTTTGAATTATTATTTTCTTAACTATAATATAACCTATGTTGCATGGAAACGGAAACGGAAACGCGGAAACGAAACGTTTCGGAAACGGGATACAGGTTTTTTCTAAATTTAGGGAATGGAAACGTTTTGGAAACGTATACACACATATATTAATATATATATATATAACTGTTATATATACATATATAACACCAAACATAAAACTATTTTTAAAAAATATGTTTCAAACAACACAAATCCAAAACATAAATTATTAAATAGTTTAACTAAAATTTCAAAAAATTAAGATTAAAAGACTCAAGTTCAAATATTTAGACCAATATTTTCATTCTCATTTTCATTAGTTCCATCAAAGATTATATAAAACTATCTCCAAATCTGGTTCGTCGAGAAAAAGATCTTAAAACTTGAGTCTCCCAAAGTTATATATATGTATTATAAATCTTAATATTTCCAAACTATTTATTTATTAAGTTTCCAAAGTAAAAAAAAATTTTTTGTCGTGTTTCCAAAACGGAAACGTGAGTTTCCATCGTGTTTCCAAACAGAGATTTGTAAGAAACGTGTTTCCGTGACGTTTCTTGGTGTTTCCGAGAGTTTCCGTTTCCGAAACGTTTCGGAAACGGGAAACGGACCTCGGAGAGAGTTTCCATGCAACACAGAATATAACTCTCTAGCTAAATGTAAAGCAAAGGATGCAAATCGAATAACAAAGAGTTTATATGCTTATTGTTTTTTTTTTTTTAATATTGGATATTGGACAATTAATTAAAAAATATTTAAAATTTATCTCTCTACACATGCATAAGTATGAAATCCTTCAAGAATAGTTGAAGTTAGCTAGAAGGATTAGGTGGATAACTACCATTCTACTGAGCACCTAATTAATGAGGGACTTTTTTACACTTCAAAGACTTGTCGGTAACAATGATTCTTCATCTTGATGTTTATATATGAACGAAGTAAGTACACAAGACATATATTGCAATAACAAAGCACAAAATGCCTCATCCTCCTCCTCATCGTCCTCCTTCTCCTCCTTTCCACCATTCACCGCCACCAAGAGCACGGCCTCCAGAGCCTCGCCCTCCTCCACCTCCTCCAGGACCTCAGCCACCTCCTCCACCTCCTCCGGGACCTGACCCACCACCTCCACCTCCCGGGGCTACTTGGTTTCCAGGACCTCTAGGGCCACGCCCTCCTAGACCACCATATTAGTCGTCATGAATGTTTGGTCTAATTAAGTATATAATTCGACATATATATTGTCGAAACATCTTAGATCTTTAAAGATTTCATATATGCGTGACACTTTCATGTGTATTAGGCTCATGTGTAATCATAGTGTGATCCTTTCATATGTATAACTAGGCTCATATGTGTAATTATACTGTGATCCTTTCATATATGTAATTAGATTGTATTATCTCAACCATTACAGGGTTGTAGTAGCTTGTAACGAAGTACGCTTGCACTTTATTTCAGTATGTAATTCTAATGTAAATTTTAGAATATAACCAGCTTATTGTTTACGCTTTATGTGGCTATATCAGTGAGAGCCGTTGAACATATAAGAAAATAACTCTTCCTAAATTTGTTTAACGTGACTAAATAGTTTTTACGAAAAAACTATTATATGGAGTGTCAATAACCATTTCTTAAGAAGAAAAAAAAAAGTAAAAATAAATACCTTATTTTAAGTGAGATCGACAAGAAACAAGAAAATTTTATGTTTTCAAATGGTTTTAACTGACAACGGTATTCTTATAATATGGTTTAAGCTTCCGGTAAGAACAACTTCACCAAATGTGAACTTGGTTAAGACTTGTGTGACATTGAATTCGATATCCAGATCTTGAGTTCTCTGTGGTGGTACGGTAAAATAAGATGGGATTAACCGTACAGTTGTACCATTGGGAGGTAAAACCGAACCAAGATATGTCTCAGTCTTGTTTGAGACGTTTTGGAAACTTCTTCTCACCACAAGTGACTCTTTAAGGGCAGATATAGTCACTGACGGATGGTTAAGGTTCGCCGGGTGGCTAAATGCAGTGGTGCACGAGACTCCAGTTGCGGCTCGGATTGTGACCGGGTTAATGTTTGGCAGTGAACACAAGAAACTTATGTAGTCTTCAAAACCTAGTCCAATGCCCCAAAAAAATGATATTACAAAAGTTACCTATAAATATTTTGTTTTACTACATTAATAGCACAACATTTGTAATTTATCATTTCTTTCCCATGATATGTAAAAAACTTACCCGTGGATAAAACCAGTCCAGGATCTAAGGCTCTAGCAGGATTAACATGGCCCGCACCATGATCAAAATGATTAGACGGAAATAATCCACTTATTTCATAAGACTCTGCTGATATAATTTCACCAGAAATGTCGTATTCGTTGGCCGTGGTGGAGATGGCCGATGCAATCATTGCCGGAGTCCAAGAAGGATTAAGCTGTTTTATGAGCGCACCAATCCCCGCTATATGAGGAGTGGCCATGCTTGTTCCCGACAATATCGCAAAGCTCCGTCCTACTCAAAAAAATGATCAATTTTAAACTTATGGGATTATATTTCATAAGATAACAAAATATGAGGAGTGCAAAGTTAAAACCTGTGAGAATAGGATCAAAGGCACTAGGAAGGCTCCAAGCACCCCAAATTTGGTGACCAGGTGCAAGAATATCTGGCTTAAGCACATCTAAAAGATTCCGATTTGCATCAATAAAAGCTGGTCCTCTCGAAGAGAATCTGCTCACCACCGGTGCTTTTCCGGCGAAGACCGAGTTCCGGCCTTCACCAATTCTTGCACGTGCCCCAAATTGTGTCACTATTCCTCTCTTATCTCTGTAGGTTTTCTCTTCGTAGTACCTCAAAATAATCTTACATGATAAAGTCTCAATATATGTAGAGGAAAATCTTGAAATATAGTTTCAATGCAAATCAAATGGTCAGTTTGTAGTGACATACTTCACTCAAGTTCATTGCGACACATAAATGTGGATTTCATTATTGCTAAGTAACATACTATGTAATATAGTCTTCTTAATTCATCCACAACAAATTACATATTCGAACTTATATATTTTGATAGACTATACTCTATATCCTTCTTATAATATTTACTATTTTTATCGTGTCAAATAGTTCAACATAAACAAGTACAAGAGTAGTTTTCGCCCAAAAATATGTTATGACAATTATTTTCTTATTACTTTACCTAAAGAAAGCATTGTTATTTTTTCAATTTTTATGATGGATTTATTGATGAAATTACCTGGGTAGCTGATACTGTAGGGATTAGAATACCAGGAACTGAAAATAACACCGGTTCTGCAACATAATCACCGAATCTAGGATTTGCAATGAGTAAAAAACCCATGAAACCAAGAGTCCTAGCGGTTTGGGTGATGGCTCGAACGGTCGACATCTGATTGTAGAAGCCATCAGAAAATGTACATATCACAATAGTTCCAAAAACCGCGGCTGGGTCAAAATTATCCGGCCGCTGGCATTCTTCAATGTCACTTGTTAGGGGTTGTAGAACCGAGCTGTTTGTTCTAAAAGCGTCTCTGGCTAAGACTAGCCTGTGTTGAAGTAATGGAGCTCCAAGGGTTGGACCTATAATTTTAAAATGTAAAAGGAAAAAAAAATTATGAATATCATAACCAATTTACGTATAGAATTTAAGTCATTTAAAAAAATAAATATAAGTGAATAAGATTTTTACCTGATAGTCCGACGCCATAAACGGTCTGGCCACCGTCAAGAATAAGGGAGGCAGGATAAGACCGGTCCGTATTTCCGGCTGCAACTCCGACGACCCACGGACTATAAGACAAAACAGAAGAAGGTGACGGGCCATTATTCCCTACGGCTTGCACCACAAACACCCCTGCTTTTCTAGCCAACAGCATTGCTAGGTCGAATATCCCGAGTACCGTCGGCTTATCCACCGGTGGTTCGTCCGGTCCCACCGATAGTGTCAATACATCTACGCCGTCCATAATTGCCTGCGTGACAAATTAAAATAAGTAAATAAAATTGATTAAAGATCGCATGTTATAGTTTTGTTTTGAAGATTGTTTACTTGGTCGATGGCTGCAATTACGTCAACAAGAGTTCCAATTGATGGATAAATCGCCTTGTAAACGGCTATTCTGCCACGTGAACAAATAAAAATAACTCGAACATAGTATCATTAGGCTTCAATCTTCTATTATATGAGCTAATTAATCTGAATGATGTGACGAACCGTGCACGTGGGGCCATACCGCTGGCTTGGCCGTAGAAGAATCCGTCGACGATCACTGGAACTCCAGCGTTGCCGGCTGCGATAGATGCCACGTGGCTGAACCAAACGGCCAAGTAGTAAACACTTATGCAACACATATAATGCATAACAAACTAAGTAACTAACAAAACAATGTATATAGACCACTTTACAAACACAAACAATATAAAGACATAATTTACCCCAAATATGGCTGTAAAGACTTTAACATAACTTATTGTTTTTACTTTTTACAACCAATTCTTTGAAACCAATATTACTGTAAATAGTTAGAGTCAACTCCACATGCCCATCTCAATATTCTCCCAAAAAAATATGAACATATCTTTATAGTTCACCAAATGAAAAGATAGATTTATAGCTTTTTTTTAAGATAGATTAATAGTTGACTAAGAAATATAGACATGTATTTATAATAGTTGACTAGTGATATATTTTGAGTAGAGTTTACCTTGATGGTATGTTTGAAAAGTGATTCATCAAATTCAAAATGGTATTTCACAAATTTCCTTCAAAAGATAGAGACATTTATACCTTCCGTGGCCGGACGCATCGAACGGAGAGAGTATATCCAATGAGGAGTTGAGAGCAACCGAAGCTCGAGCTCCGGCGGAAAAGAACCTAGCGGATATGATTTTTCCGTTACAAGATCCGGCGGGAAAGAGAGGACCGGTCTCACAGTCGCCGGAGAAATTCAAACGTGAGATATTTGATGAGTAAGGGTTTGTGAGATCGAGTGCGGCGAAGCTCGGATGAGTAGGGTTAATTCCAGTGTCCACAAAACCGATTACTATATCTTCTCCTGCACGTCTGCCACCGTCACTGGAGATCTTTGGCCAGACTTGTTGAGGAAGTTCCAAGAAATCAGGAGTGTATGTTGTCATTAGTCTCACTCCTTTGTCTTCTTCTACTGCCTTCACTCCTTTTGTTTTCTTTAGTTTCTTGGCCTACAAGTAAAATCAAAACAACAGTAAAATCAAAGTAAACCGAGTTATATATTCTTTTGGGTAAGAGGAAGGACCTGAGAAGGAGTGGTACGGACTGCAAAAGCATTGATGACATGTTTGAAGCTATAAAGCTTTGTATAACTTCCATTTTCAAGTGTGCTTCCAAGTATTTCGTCATGAATCTCTTCTATCTTCTTTGCTTCATATGCCATAGCTTTGCTATTTTTCAAACATCAAAATAGTATACCTCATTAAATAAATGAATTACATAATGAAAATTTTAAAAATGGGAAGTCAAAGATATATAGTTAATGGACATGGAAGATGAGAAAACAAGAATTTATATTTGAATTAAACCAAGTAGATTCAAAATTTTCATATGATAATGTCTTTTAATTTGGAAAAAACATGTATGATGTGAACCTGTTGATGTTAGTAGAAGCACGAAAGGCCAATGGTTCACCTTCAACCAAAACAGAGTAAATCTTTGGTATATGATCATCGTTTTCGTCTTTTCCTTCTCTTTCTTCTGCTCTGGACAATATTGAACAAACAATCAATACAAATATGCATACTATCAACCATATGTAACAATATGATCGTAGTTTTCTTGGATTGGTTTCCATTAAATCCTTATTAGGATTCTCCATTTGCGTTAATTAAGATATTTATATCATGTAGAGGACAATGAGAGTCATGTTCTTGGACAATACACATTACCAACGTGACCATAGAGAGGTTTATATGCGTTACAATTTGTCATATTTGGTATGATCATGAGCCTTGCTTATAAGGAAGTTATTTTCTTAGTTCTGACCAAAAAGAAAAAGAAAAAAGGAAGCTTATTTAGAAAAAAAGTTACATGTTTAAACAATCTGTCATTCTTGCTATTTTCCATTTAATATTATCTTTTTTACTTACATAATATAGGTACAAAAATTAGTTTATCATTAATTCTTATGACACATGGCATGTTTTGATTTGTTTTCTAAGTTTGTGTTGACCAAAAATATAAGATTATGAACTGAATTTTCCAAGAGTATTTTCACTTAGGCTTTGAATAGTTGGCCAGTCTTCTAAATACTAGGCAATGTGTGCTAATATTTTGGTATTCTAAACTTCAAACTACAGTACGCTTCATTTTGAAAGCAAGTATAAGAAAAACATATGGATAGACTAGTTATATTTTGGTATGTAGTTACTGTTCATTGTGTACTAAGATGTATTTTATTTATCCACAGAACCGTCCCTGAGCAGCCAGGTGAAGCAATTGTTTTGGACCCCTAGAATTCTAGACATTTTTATTTACAAAATAGTCCCTCAAATTTATTTTATTTTTGTAAAATGGTTTCCAGTTTTAAAAACTACTATAAACCCTAAAAACTTTTTTAAGCCCCTAAAATTTTAGAACCGACCTTGTTGGTCCGAGTTGGTATGAAATTGGTCTGGAGTGGTCCAGAATATACTAGACAACTATGTGAATGGTGAAAAAAAAACGAACTAGTTCGAATTTGGTCCGATTCAGAATACACCGACCAACCATTCAAAGCCTTAATGAAAAAATGGGAAAATAAATTTTCTTTAGACCTTTATATCCAACACATATGAATATTGCATTCTCATATAGCCACAATATTACTGATCAATGATCATGCTCTGTTTTTCTTCAATCCACATTTTCGAAATCATATGCGACGTCGTGGCTCAATTTGAATTTGCATCCGAATTTGTTGTGTTATAAGTTTATAACATCCTCCCATTCTCTGAATCTTGTGAGTTACCATTTTTTTTTTTTTTTTGTATAAAAATCAATTCATTTCTCATATACTTATTGGGCCGATATGGGCCGGGCTATTGTTTTAAGAAAATATAATTCTAAAACCCAAATCTGCTCTCATTATATCGAAACAAAACCTGAAAGCTCTTCAAAGCTTCTTAAATGTTCAGAGCTAAAAACCCTAAATCCTCAATTCATCAAAGTTTCGTTCTTTATCTTTTTCGCCAAATTGGTTCCAAACCCAGAGCAATTAGTGTTGATTCGGCTCGTACGTACCAATCAGGACCTGCTTCAAGCCCAAGCTTATCGATATGGAGACGGAAGAAAGAAATGAGCAAAGAAGGTTTAATCGCTGCCAAAGAGCTCAAGCGACTCCAAACCCAATTAGTCCGACTTGATCAATTCATCTCTTCTCATGTCTCTCGTCTCCTTAAATCTGATCTTGTTTCTGTTCTTGCTGAGTTTCAGAGACAAAACCAAGTTTTCCTCTGTATGAAGGTAATAAAAATTAAATTTTGATTTTGTTTGTCTGATACATAGAAATTAGTATCAGTTTAGGATTTATTTTGTATAATCATTGAATTTGGTTAAATTGTGGAAATGTGTGTGAATAATTCTGGGTGTTGGGGTTAATTGGTCCGGTCCGGTTCGTAAATTTTGGTGTTTCGGTTTGGAAATCGGTACTGAAATGGAACCGAAACCAAATTTGGTTTGGTTCATTATCAAAAATTTGACGTTTTTCAATATTTCGGTTAAATTGGTACATTTCGGTGATTCTGGTAAAATTTAGGATAAAAATTTTGGTAGTTTCGGTTTGGCAGTGCCGAACCGGTTTTCATGCTTCCTCTTGCTGCTTGGTTTCACCTTGTAAACGGAATCGAACCGAACAGCCTAACTGGTTTGGTTCAGCTATTTCGGTTTGGTTTTATATGCCTAGTTCTAAGTTTGGTTATGGAGTTTGTTGGTGTTAATGATTATGTTGTTTGGAAAGTGGTGCTGAAATGGAACCGAAAACCAAATTTGGTTTGGTTCATTATTGCAAACTTGACTTTTTCAATATTTCGGTGAATTCGGTTATATTTAAGATAAAATTTTGGTAATTTCGGTTTGGCAATGCCGAACCAAACCAGTTACTGAATTTCATACTTCCTCTTGCCGCTTGGTACCTAGTAAACCGAATCCGAATCGAATTATCCGAACTGGTTTGGTTTATATGGAGTCTGTTGATGGTGTTAATGTTTATGTTTTGTACTTTTGTCACATTTCTTTGATATTGAGTTTGGTTTAATGTTTGTATTCTTGTTCTTTCAGCTCTATGAAGTTGTGAGAAGAGAAATATGGTATAGACCGGATATGTTTTTTTACAGAGACATGCTAATGATGCTTGCAAGAAACAAGAAAGTGGATGAAACCAAGAAAGTATGGGAAGATTTAAAGAAAGAAGGAGTTTTGTTTGATCAACATACATTTGGAGACCTTGTTCGAGCGTTTTTGGATAACGAACTTCCGTTAGAAGCAATGAGATTGTATGGAGAGATGAGAGATTCTCCTGACCCGCCTTTGTCTCTACCTTTTCGAGTTATTCTGAAAGGACTTGTTCCTTATCCTGAGTTGAGAGAGAAAGTGAAAGATGATTTCTTGGAGCTTTTCCCTGGAATGATTGTGTATGATCCTCCCGAGGATTTGTGCGAAGAAAGTGATGAAGATGCGAGAACAGATAGTGATCTTGAGTAGAGAGGTAGTTTTGTTTATGAGATACTGATTTCTTGAATCGTTTCTTGGTTTAGTTTACACTCGAGATCTAAGTGATTGAAATATCTTCTTGAGGTCTACCCGATTTATCTTCTTGATTGTACTCTTCTATCTTCTTGATTGAAATGAATCGTCTTTGGATATAGAACAAATTATGGCTGTTGATACTGAAGATAATGAGGAGCAATTGAAGAAGGATTTGAGAAGCTCGTAAGCGTTTACATGTGTAATAATCTCTCTCAGCAATGCTAAATGCTGTGGTATTGAATCGGTTCAAGATAATTCAAATGTTAGTGAAGATATATACTGCAGAAACCAGAAATAGGGAGAAAATTATTAGAATTGGATTAAGTTTGGTCCGATCCTGTCTTTTTGGGACAGTAATGGGTCGGTTTGGGGCAGACCAAGTCTTTGGGAGTAATAACATTCTCTCATTTTTGATTTTTTTTTGTCTTGTCCATCCCAAAAATACGATAGTCGAGAATGAATTATAATATTATTGCTCTAATAGCATGATAAACATTATGGGTATAAGAAAATAAATGTGATGTGGAAAAATTATTATTTATTCTCACAGAAATGAGGTTATAAGGTACATTCATTCTATATAAGTAATATACAAGTTTCATAAAGTAGGATAAACACAAGTGAAAATAATATATATACAAACAAAGATAAACTCTCTAAACTAAAATATTAAAATTATCTACGATCTTGGCTTTAATGTGCAAAGGGAATGTTCAAATGTCTTAAATTTTAAAAATTAGTAAACATAGGGCTCGAGTGGTTACAGCGAGTGAGGACGGAGAAATCCGTTTGCGGATTGACCGCTTTTTATTTACCATTCATAAATTATAATCCGTTGTAGACTAACTATGGACCTCTTTTACATATAAATAAGTATGGTACACAACGGATTATTGTCAATCCCAAAAATATAGTGGTCTAATCCGCTAATGATTTTAACCGCTCCGTCCGCAACTTCCACCCAAACCCATAACTATAAGTATGCAAAAAGTGTAAAATGTATGTGATTTCCAAAAATATTGTTAACGTTGACTTTTCTTTTCATTTTTACCTTAATTTCCTTTACGAACTTATAGTACATTGAAAAACTAGATTAACAGAATAAAGAGACAATTAGATACAGTATGTGTTTTTAATATATGGTTACGTCCTATATCCACACTGGGTATTCTCAACATTCTCTCAAAATTCTTTGCCAAGACCTTAAACGAGTATTGGATCAGAAAATAAGCAGTCCGTAACCTTTACATAGTATTAAAGCCGAATTAACACAACGGTTGTCAAATCCAAAAGTTAAATTAAATTCAAAACGAACAGATCAAAAAAGCTTTACTATCATTATAATAGTAGGATTACACATAACACAAAAGGATACACACCACAAATCATTCATAATCGGGGAAACATCAAACACTAGTTCATCAATCGGAACATTTTACCTATGTTCCTAAATATACCGAGAACCATAGATTATAAATATTATAAGCTGTTTAATGATTATAAATATAATAAAATAACGTTTAAAAGGATCGATCAAAGCATGGTGGAGGAGATGTGATCCATTGGGAAAGGATTGCCCAAGACATTATCCATGAAGTAATGGTGAGGATGTGTTGCGTCCATTACTACAAACTGCATATCCTCAGATGGCTTCCAATGCCGTTTCCTCTGGTTTATGAACCAATTGTTTATCTGTTTCTGGTCCAGCCCCGTTGATTCCGCCAGCGCGAGCTTCTGTTGCTCCTGCCAATTCATATCCCACATGCGAGAAAAAATGTGTCAATCATCAAGTTTTCTTATCAACATTTACAATGTTGTATTCTTACGCTCTACGATAAAGGGTCAGTCCATGATCACAGCTACATCAACGATTTCTTAGATTGGAACGATAACTTAGAATCCATCTTATAGCATACGAACTTAGGTAATGACACTATAATTGTACTAAAGACATGAGCTACTACTCCATTAGAGAATTTCCTCATGCAAACTACTTTCCAAAGTTATGACTTTAAGTATGTGAAACAAAGTTTGGGCTAAGTTACGGTATAGCCATAAGATGAAATTGGTCCTTGTCTTAAGGTGAAATGACATAAAATCCGGCCGGACCCTAAAAACGTATGGAAGCAAAAATCACAAACAACATGAGCTAAAAAGACAAATAAGTTCAATGTAATCATCTTCATTAGGATTTGCAATCATAAAAATGCGCTTAATGAGAGTATAAGAGAAGAAAGTTACCGAAGGGTAAGGCCATTTGTAGTGGCGGCTCCACCAATCAAGCAATTGTTGGCGAGCTTCTTTAGGTAGCTTTCCTTTCTTCCTCTTCTTCATGAACTCTTGCTTGAGGCTCCCTAAGTAACCACTGTACTTGCGCAAGAGCTGTCCTTTAAGCTCCCTATCCTCAGCTTGCGGATCTACAAATTCATTATTCATATCGACTTCTTCCTCAGATGACCCATTATTGTTCCTATCAACTGCTGTCTCTCCATAACCTACATTGATTATACATGGAAACAAGACAAATCTGTCACCAAAAAGTGCTTAATGGTTTCTCAAATCTCGAGTATTTAAGTTTAAGAAAAAGAATAGGCTAGTGATCCAAATAATTCAAAGTAACATGTTAGTTTGTGTGTCTATATACAAACTTAACTACATTCTTGAAAAGAAGAGTGATATGACATTGTGTAGATATATGTATATGTGATTATACGTACAAAAACATGTGTATGTCTAAATTGAGCAATAGATCTAAGGACGAGCAGACTCTAGATCCAGATATTCTTTTTGATGCATTTGAATTAAATAGATCCAAAACAAACGGAAAAGAAAGAGACAAGAACAGTGATTGTTGTTGTACCAAAGCAAATAAATTCAATTCCAAACAAAACAAAAAACAGTAAACAAACTGTTTTAAAATCAATGAAAACATCTACATACACTAACTTATGTATAGATAGATTATACACGTAAACCTAGTAAGCTATATATAACAATCTGACACTAACCCTAGTAACAACCATCAAAGGGGTATTAAACCCAAGAAAAATCAGAAAAAGGAAAAATCTTTCTTAAAACCCACAAAGGAAAAAACAACCTTTTCTCATCTTACGTTTAATTTGACGCCATAATTAACAAAAAAATCAATTTAATAATTTAAAAAAAAACAGAGAACCGACTAGAGAGAGAAAGTAACCGGAGAAAGAGGAAGGTGAGGATAGAGAGAGGGATTTGAATTGACACTCGACACGTTGAAGGAAGACCATAGCTTCCTTGAATGGTTTGGAGAGCTCTTGCTCATACTTAACAAGCATTTCACAGTAAGCTTCCATGAATTGATCAAGCCCTGGATCTTCACCTAGACACCCTGTTGGTCCCATCGATGCGGCGGCCGCCGCCGCAGAAGAGCATGCCTCCTCCAGCCTCACCACAACCTCCGGTGGTGCTCCAACCTTAACAATTGTGGAATTAGTAAGTAATAGACATAAAACATTAATTAAACTAAGATAAGGATCCTCAAGTTTACTTTGTGGGATTTCATAAAGTAAAGAAAATGATGAAAGATAAATATATGTCATAATCTTCAAGCCTCATACAATATTATGGATAATCTCTTGAAAATAGGGTTTTTAAAAAAATTCTTTGTTTTTAGACTTTTAGTTACAATTTTATTGAAACTTTCTCAAAATAGGAAAAATTGTTTCCTCTGTTTGTATATATTTAGTTGGGTTAAGTAACTAGTAAACAAAAGGAGATATCAAAATCAAACTAAAACATCAAGTAAAGGGGTTAAGTTAAAAAGAAAGAAAAGGTAAAGTTTGGTAATTAGGGTTTCTAGAATCTTCTTCTTCTTTGTGTAATAAGATCAAATAAGGATCATTAGAGTTAAGAAGAAACTTCCAAAGAATAATTTTTTTCAGGGTTTGTTCTCTCATCACCTTCTGACAATTGACATAAGCGGCCAAGAGGCGGTGGTAGTGAGGATGAGCCATGATCTTGGCCTTGACAGAGGCCGAAGAAGAGGAAGAGGAGCAAGGGTTGATCCCTCCGGCAACGATTTCGTTATGATGGATCTCCATTAGGGAATAAGCAGGAGCACAAGAGGAAGGAGAAGAAGAAGAAGCGACTTTGTTCTTAGTTCCTTGGGGAGGAGGAGCTAGTGATTGAAGAAAAAGGGAACTACTTTGTTGGTGGTGTGACTGATATGCATAACCATCATGTTCTTGTTGTTGATGTTGATGATGATGACCATGATGTTGATGTGATGTCATGATGGGCGGCATCATCATCATCATAGGACACATCGGACCATCACTATTATCCCCGGCAAAAGCCATTGGACAAGAAGTGCTGTTGGAACCACTCTCCATCTTCTCTTTCTCTCACTAGTATTATTATTCACTTTGGCTTTGCTATATAGCTATGAGAAATAATTAAAGAAAATAACAAAAAGAAAAGAAATAAAGAAGAAGAAGTGCAATGTAAATACAGCTAGCATTTATCATCAATATCATGAAACACATTAAAGTACTATAAATTTATTGGGAAACCCTAAAAGAGTAAGTAAATGTGTGTGTATATGTGTGTGTATGTATGATTTAATTTAATTATTTGAAAATGCAAAAGTGGTCTCCCGGGATTTATGCTTCAACAATCAGCTTCTTTTTCCACATTGAAAATTCTAAATAGTGATAGTTATGGGGGAGAGGGAAGCAGCAGAAGAAAGACCAGGAAGATAAATCTAAGGAAATTAGTATATATATTAAAAAAGAAATGGAGAAACTTATATTTAAAAAGTGGAAAAAGCAGACATGGACAGAGATTGTGTGATCTGTGGGTTCTTAACTCTTTTGTGTTCATCTGCTGAAATATGATTTCTCATATATGCCTTTTTGGAAATTAATGTTGTAATTTATATTCTTCTTTTGTGAGGTAATAAACCGGATTATATTTGACAATTTCTTGAAATGGAGAAAACCGGAATGTGCCTCAGAAAGTCCAGTGAAAATATATGGGGAATTTGTTATTTCTTTACCATGGGAGTATCAAATCGAATGTTGTCATTTGGTTTGATTTTCATACCATGAATTCCCAAAAGTCTTGGTTTCCTGATGGGATAAAAAGTACATTTGTGTATAT